TAAAAATAATGGAGCCCCCTCACTGGATCACCCATTGTCCCCTGGGGTCCCCAGGCCTGCTGCACAACCAAGCCTTGCGGGGCCTCCAGAAACCCGGCAGTGACGAGGCCAACCTCGCCTCCACAGTGCGGGCACCACAGCAGGAAAGGGCCGCCCCCGAGAGCCCACCAAATGTAGTTTTCTAGGCATCGGAACCTGGAACGCCTCTCTGCCGGATCGGGCAGATGAAGTCGGGGAGAGCCGGTGTACACCAAAGGGTGTATTTTCACAACGCACTTAACTTTGTTTTGGGGTTAACCCATTTTCTAGGTTTATACAATTTGCTCAATCATAGTCTAACTGAAAGGTCTGGTTTGTGCAACTTGCTGAGGCACAAAAAACTAGCCAAAGTAAAAAAAAATAGCTAACCATGGTTAACATGGGCAAATCACTAGGGTTTAGGTGACCTGCTTAAGTGCGTTATGTGAACCCAGCCAATCTCCCTCTCTTTCATCCATATCTAGAAGCACAGTCCACGTGTGAAGTGGATCAAAGTTGCATTTTTTAAAAAAGTTGTGTTCATGGAGAGATTGCGGGGAAGGGAAGGCACCAAAGAGCAGAAGAAATGCAAAACTATCCCCAGAGTAATGAGAAGAACATGCGGGGGGGGGGGGGTTCCTTTGGAGCTCCTTCTGTCTCCCCCTTCCCAATCTCCCCTGGAAGAGGATAGGAAAGGGACCTGTGCAAAATACCCTTTTCATTTTTTTTTTCCAGAAATGACCAAATCAAAATTCCCATATTCAAGAGGCAGCCAGACTCTGGAAAGCTCCAAAGGGCAAGAGCACCTCGAGACTTTTGCAGCGGGCAGAGGAGGGGAAGGGTCTCCTTCTTCATTAGAGACACCCACAAATGCCCCTTCGCTGCTGCCTCAGAGCATCTCTCGGCGTAAGAACCGCGGTCCTCAGTTCCCAAGGAAAGCAACTCCCATTGAAACCAATGCAGGTTCAAAGGAAAGTTCATTTACTGGAAAGTAGCAACACCTCTAAAGCCATAGCCGGACCTGAGTCCTGCGCGCGCCAAAACTTAGTTTTACTTCACTCCCATTTCACCCCCCCTTCAGTCTTGGAATCTCTCTTGCGCGTGCCGAAGGTGGCCTCAGGTTCCCACGTTGGTAAGGCCTTGGGCATTCCTGAGGGCGAGATAACGGCCCATCTGCACCTAGCGGTTCCCCTCCCAACCTTCCCTCCCTCCCTCCCCGTCGCTGTAATGGCAGGAAACGAAGCAGGCGAACTAGCGGGGCCAGCGGTTGCTTGCGAGGGCTCTGGCGCTTGGGCTTGGAGCTAAGGAAGAGTTCGGGATCCGTTCCCAC